GCCGGGCGCAGCTGGCCAAGCACCAGCGCGCCCACTCGGCGCAGCGGCCCTTCCAGTGCCCGCAGTGCCACAAGGCCTACAAGACGCCCACCGAGCTGCGCAACCACTCGCGCTCCCACACGGGCGAGAAGCCCTTCGTCTGCGCCGAGTGCGGCAAGGCCTTCATGCAGGCCATCTGCCTGCGCATCCACGCCACGCAGCACAGCGGCGAGCGGCCCCACGCCTGCCCGCACTGCGCCAAGAGCTACCCCACCCTGTCCAAGCTCAAGGTGCACCAGCGCTCCCACACGGGCGAGAAGCCCTACCTGTGCGCCGAGTGCGGCAAGAGCTTCGCCGACCCCTCCGTCTACCGCAAGCACCGGCGCAACCACCAGGGCCACCGGCCCTACGCCTGCGGCCAGTGCGGCAAGACCTACACGGAGCTGAAGGACCTGAAGAACCACGAGCGCTCGCACACGGGCGAGAAGCCCTACCTGTGCTCGGACTGCGGCAAGGCCTTCTCCCGCTCGTCCTCGCTGGCCTGCCACCTGCGCATCCACGCCCAGAGCAAGCCCTACGGCTGCGAGCAGTGCGGCAAGGGCTTCACGCAGCTCTCCTCCTACCAGAGCCACCTGCGCACCCACTCCGGCGAGAAGCCCTTCCTCTGCCCCCAGTGCGGCAAGATGTTCTCCGACCCCTCCAGCTTCCGCCGCCACCAGAGGGCGCACTCGGGCTTCAAGCCCTACCCCTGCGACAAGTGCGCCAAGCGCTTCAGGCAGCCGGCCGACCTGGCGGTGCACCAGCGCGTGCACTCGGGCCAGCGGCCCTACAAGTGCCAGAGCTGCGACAAGGCCTTCGTGGCCTCCTGGGACCTGCGGCGCCACCTGCTGGTGCACACGGGGCTGCGGCCCTTCTCCTGCGCCGAGTGCGGCAAGGCCTTCGCCGAGCGCTCCAGCCTCAACAAGCACCGGCGCGTGCACTCCGGCGAGCGGCCCTTCAAGTGCGGCCTGTGCCTCAAGGCCTTCGTGGTGTCGT